TTGGTCATAAATGGGTTTTTGTGCGAAAAAGGAATGATAAAAATGAAGTTGAAAGATACAAAGCTCGCCTTGTTGCACAAGGATTCTCACAACGACCTGGAGTCGATTTTGATGAAACATATTCACCTGTTATGGATGCCATAACATTTCGATATCTCATCAGTTTAGCACTATATGAAAAGCTTGAAATACATCGAATGGATGTAGTTATATCTTATCTGTACGGTTCACTTGATAATGAAATTTATATGAAAATCCCTGAAGGATTTAAAATTCCTGAAGCAAAATCTCAGAACATGTATTCAATCAGATTACAAAGATCTTTGTACGGTTTAAAGCAATCTGGGCGCATGTGATATAATCGCCTTAGTGAATATTTGCTGAAAGAAGGTTACATAAATGATGTTATTTGTCCATGTATTTTTATAAAGAAAATGGCATCAGAATTTGTTATACTTGCTGTTTATGTTGATGACATAAATCTTGTTGGAACTCCAGAAGAGCTCCAAAAGGCAATTGAATATCTTAAGAAAGAATTTGAGATGAAAGATCTTGGAAAGACAAAACTTTGTCTTGGTCTGCAAATTGAACATTTAGCAGACGGGATCTTTATCCATCAATCTGCCTATACAGAAAGGGTCTTAAAACGCTTTTACATGGACAAAACGCAACCATTGAGTACACCAATGGTTGTTCGATCACTTGAAGTGAATAAGGATTTGTTCCGATCTCCAGAAGAGGACGAGGAACGACGAGGAACTCCTTGGTCCCGAAGTACCCTATCTCAGTGCAATTGGTGCACTAATGTATCTTGCTAATGCTACAAGGCCTGACATAGCATTTTCTGTTGATTTACTAGCAAGATATAGTTCTTCTACTATACAGAGACATTGGAACGGGATTAAGCATATATTGCGATATTTAAAGGGAACTCTTGATATGGGTTTGTTTTATGCTAACAAAAATAGTGCAGACCTTGTTGGTTATGCAGATGCAAGTTATTTATTTGATCCCATAAAGCTCGATCTCAAACCGGTTACGTATTTACATATGGAGGTACTATCATATCATGGCGCTCCACAAAGCAATCTATTGTTGCTACTTCTTCAAATCACGCTGAGATAATAGCTATTCATGAAGCAAGTAGGGAATGCGTATGGTTGAGATCAATAATTCATTTTATTCGAGAAAAATGTGGTTTGGAATGTGAGAAAAGACCCACAATTTTATACGAAGACAATGCTGCATGCATAGCCCAATTGAAGGGAGGATTTATAAAAGGAGATGGAACGAAGCACATTTCACCAAAGTTATTCTACACACACGATCTTCAGAAAAGTGGTGACATTGATGTGCAACAAATCCGTTCAAGTGATAATCCAGCAGATTTATTCACTAAATCTTTGCCAACTTCAACTTTTGAGAAGATGGTATACAAGATTGGAATGCGGAGACTCAAATATTTGAAACAAGGTTTTCATCAGGGGGAGTAAAATACGCGATGCACTCTTTTTCCCTTACTAAGGTTTTTTCCAATGGGGTTTTCCTTATAAGGTTTTTAATGAGGCACCTAACAATGCGTCTTACTAAATATGTGTACTCTTTTTCCTTCACTAGAATTTTTTTCCCACGTGGTTTTTCCTAGTAAGGTTTTAATGAGGCACATTATCTTTTAATGAACATCCAAGGGGGAGTGTTATAAATATATTATATTATGGATGTTCATTTAGTACTCCGTTGTAAATAAGCTTCTTGAAGAAGCTTATCCATATGGGACTCCACCATAAATATGTTTATCTATTTAGTACTCTATTGGAAATAAGCTTCCTGAAGAAGCTTATCATTTCGGTACCCGGTATCCATACCGGGTATAATAAGTTTATCCTTTTAGTACCTAGTTATGGATAAACATTACCCCGGTAGAAGATTATCCATACCAGGTATAATAAGCTTATCCTTTCAGTATCCGGTTATAGATAAATATTAGCCCCGGTAGAAGATTATCCATATCGGGTATAATAAGTTTATCCTTTTAGTACTCCGTTATAAATAAACAGTGCTTCAGTAGAAGATTATCTATATCTGATATAGTAGCAGCTTACACAACAGCTTTCTTTCTTCTATAAATAGAAGAAATTTCAGTTCATTATGTACATCAATTTGAATTCGAATAATATAACAGTTTCTATCTGTACTTGTCTTTACTTTACGGTCTTTATTTTATAATTTATTTAATAAGAGTTGCGTAAATATTGAGTGGATTAAGCTACTTTGAAATGGTAAAAGTGTTCCGAAATGCCTTATCTGCTAACAATGACAAGCTGCAGTTAGAAAAAATGTTTCTAGTATTAAGACAACTATTTCACTTAGTATTAGTTTGTAGTAGAAACGTGGAAAGTAGTTTGTGCTAAAAAAGCAACACGTGTCATTAGCATGAGCGTACGTGGCCTTAAACCGTTTCACCCTTCCATCAGTATATTTATAACTTCATCGACATTATCTTAACTTCCAGTTTCTCAACTCAGTCGGTCGTTGCACCTTTCCAAGAACAAAATTTCTGCCATGGGACAAGGCGAGGAATCGAAGACCAGAAATGAACCCAGCGTTGAAGTTCAGGTACACGTCTACCTTTGACTGATTTTTCATTATGTAGTTGCAAATATGTCCACAAGTTCATGATATAAAAAAAAAAGTAGTATGAAGTATCAAATGCAAGGTCCGGTTTCGAAAAAGTGTCACACACACTGTGATGTACACAGGATATCCTTAGTCAAGCATCAGTTGACTTATTTCACGGGTCTTAACTCGAAATCTATAGCTATCAGCCTAGTTGATTCATGGTTCGGAATCGGAATCGTGACTTCTACATTACACCTAGATAACTTTACTTAGCAAGTTCAAAGTTCACGACATATGGATGATTAATATCCAAAATTAAATGCAGGAAAGAGGAGAAATATTTTTCTTTTACCGACCAAAAGTCGGCAAAGAAGAAGCACATGACCCCAACGATGTCCAACGCTTGTACATCGTTCTCCGTCCAGAGTCCGGCGAACATTCCGTCGAAGTCAAGCAAGATCCTCATTCCGGCAAGGAAGGTGAAGAGCTCGGTTCTCATACAGACCCCGAAAAACCCAGCCGCGACATTTCCTCTGATAAGGAACATTCCGGCGGTGAGGGTGGACATGGAACAGAAGAAGTTAACATTGAGAAGCAACATTTGCTCCGGTTCATTGTAATGGGCCGGAAAAGTCTCCCGGATCCTAGTAAGAAAACAGGGCACCGACCATATTGGGGTTTCGTGGAAATGGTGACAACGAAAATAGACGATGTAAAAGCAGCTCTCAAGGGCGAAGAATATGACACGTCAACCAGAGGACACCGTGTAGTAGCACCAGCTAGAGCTGTAGGAGAAGGAATATATCGAATTCTGAGGCACAATCCGGGGAAGAGAATGCATACTCATTTGGTTTACAAGCTTGAATTTCCAGCAGAGGATGAGAAAAACGAACCACAGGAGGAGCTGAACATAAAGAGGGAAGGGTCATTTCTGATTCAGATCAAGAATCCGGATTTACATGGAAGTGGAAAAACACAGTTTAGGGGACTTCAGAACAAGAGGAAGGCGACATTTCCAGCACATTTACAAGGTGAATTTGGGCAGCTGAGATTCCATCCAGCGGATCCTCCAGATTTCTTGAACTATGAAGGATGTGAGTTTCTGCTGATATCAGCATCTGATGATATAGAAGAGGAGTTGGGGTTGGAACTGAAGACAGAAACTGAAGGAGAAGAAGAAGCAGAACATGATCCGTCTTGTTCGGATTTGGTGAAGACTTTTGGTGAAACTGCTTCTATCCGTGCCCTTCTTAGAGGCACTTGGGTTTGATCAACGTGGAAGCCAGAAGGTGTTTTAGCTCTTAGTTGTGTAGATGTAGTCTTAGATGTAGAAGGGTGCCCTGTAAATGGTAGGATGTAATTAGTAACAATGTTTCTGAACTACTTTTTTTTTTTTAAACTGTCAATTAGGATGTTTGTCGAGTTCTACTGGGTTTACTAGTTTGTCTTCCTTGTATTTTATAGGAGGATTCCTTATTCTGCAAATACTTACAAGCTAACACGTGTTTTGCAATTTATGTTCCTGGCTAGTTATGTTTCACTCCTATGTTTTAGTTGGCCTTGTCACGAGCAAAGCATAAACTTTGCAAAACTTCACAATTTTTTATCTTTAGCTGTCAATTACCTTAGTCCGTGCTCTTATTATTGCATGTACTTGTTATTTAATGTGGTACAGTGTATGGAATTAAACAGTAGCGGTGCTAAATAAAGCGCTTAATTTCTAGGGTTGCAACTGCTTAGTTTATCTTGTAATATTGGTTATTTGTTGAAATATATACAGCACGTCTTAAAAAGATACCCCTTAATACAAAAGAAAAGGGTAGTGGTAATCACACTAAGAGGTGCAAAAAACCTTGTAATGGTATCATTGGAACACCACATCACAAGAAAACCTCTATGGCTAACGACATCTTTAAATCTGAATCAGATCTTTTAGCACCAAGACAGCCCTAATTCGCATTTTTTTTTAACTTGGAGTCGTTATAAAACGTATTAACTGAGAGCAAATAAACGTCTTAACAACAAATTACGTCGACAAATTGGATCCAGCTCTTACTAGAAGTGAAGAATGAATATGCACATTGAGCTCTCCGACCATAGTTTTGAGGGCTTCAAGGTACTCGAAAACAATTACCTGGCTTGTGGGCGGATCCCTTGTTGAAATGTTACTGAAGAGATACAGAGACCGGACATTCTTATATTGTCCAGAACCTGATGCCCAAATCTTGGAAAGAAGATGCATAGAAATCCTTCTGAAAGATAGTAGAAGCTCTCAACTCAAACAAACAGATGAACTGATAAAGGCCATAAAGGAATCACAAGACAAGGATTCAAGAGAAGTAGACAAACATTCGCCTGAAACTAAAGAAACTGCACAACACTTTGCAGGGAAAAATAGACAGTAGCCATAACGTAGAAAGTTTTAAGTCACCACTGTATTTGACATTACTGGTGCTCCGGCGTGGGACTCATAAGATTCTCAAACTGCTTTTGTAGCACAAACTCAAAATTGGAGAACATTACCGGGACAAGCATTACAAACTTCCTGGAATTCAGTCATACTATCAGCAGGCTCAACATCCAAACTGAGCGACTGCGGAGAGAAATGATACCAGGCACCTCACTAAATTAATGATTCTAAACATCTAGAAGTGATATTTCTGTTACAGTATTAGTTATAATGTTATTGTACAGCGAACAAGAAAGAGAACTCTTCTCCAAATTCCCCCACCATTTTTCATAGGTGAATGTAGAAATGCTAAAAAATTGACTACTCAATCTACATAATTTTCTCAGTTCTGATTAAGCTCCCCTTGGTATAAACTAACTGCGTCACAGTTGCCAAAATTCACCAGGGGGAAACTCCTTGCTTCCATCGTGGAGCGGACCCAAAAAATTCCAGAGTTAACTATCAGATAATCAGCCTGCAAGACCAAACTACAAGCAACAGGATCTCAGAGTAAAACATCAAAAGTCATCTGGACCATCATCTTTCATCACTGAATTGGGACCATCGTCAAATCCAGAACCTGGGGCAAGCTCATTAAGATCAAGAAAGCGCCTTTTCCTTCCACTTTCAACATCATCTTGATCTGGACTGCTTGTTCTCTTTGGTACATTGTTTTGATCTGCTGCTGCCATCTCAGATGGTACATCAACAGGTTGCTCAGCTTTCACCTCCTGATTGTCATAGTTTTCCTCTGTGTTTTCACTTCCCATCGAGAACTCAGCATTATCACTTGCATCATATTGCTCTTCGGATCCATTTGACTTCTCAGGTTTCATTGACTCGGGCTCAGATTCTGACAGCTCTAAATGGCTATAATTGATACGGTTTCTGGTTGCCCTGTTACTGCGTCTTAAACCTGACTGAAGGTTGCCCACTGACCTCAACTTGGTTTCTCTTCTTGTACGACCTGGCAGTTTCTTAAATCTCCGTGGCTCATCGCTCTCATCACTGGCACTTAGGGAATCTGCTTCATCTTCATCCTCCTCTTCTTCATCTTCAGGATTTTCTTCATCCCAGTGGTACTCATCATCTCCTTCCGAGCTACTTGACACCTTCCGATGTTTCCGTGTCCTTAAATATTCTTCATCATATACTGCTTCACCCATTATATCATCATCACTGTCAAGATCTGCCTCATTTTCAGATATTGCTTCAACAAACTCTGATGCAGAATAGCGTTGGGGTCTCTGCCTCCTACGATTGCTGCATGTAAGAAGAGTACCAGTTAGTCATTGAAGGAAAGAACCAAAGAGATCTCAAAACACACGGAGCAAGTACCTTCGATCTAATAGTTCATCTTCATTGTCTTCGTCATATTCATCGTATTCAGGTGATTTAGGAGAACGCACTCTGAAAGACACATGTTGAGACAAGTGTGTAGGACTACCCAATCTACCATTTGTAGAAGTTTCATGCTTTGTAGCAGCTTCTCTCCTCAAAGTAGGTTCTGGGGATGGTGGATTCTTCCTGAAAGGAGTCAGGAAAGAACAAACATGTCAGCATATTACAAAAGACACGGACGGGGAGAGACTTTCCAATAGAAAATCATCCTTACTTGGTTAGCTTGATAGCCTCATTAATTGACCGATCGTAATCATCTGTGCAATACCCAATGTCCAATTAGACGCCAAATACTTGACCATCACACAAGCAGGACCAAATAAAATGCACTTACCAAATGTGTAGGTCACAGGCTTCCTACCCCGCAAGGCGCGTCCCCCACCAAGACCATCCATATTTAGCATGTTATCAAGCATCAATGCCTGTCTATGTTGTTTCTTCAGCAATTTCTCTTTCCTCTGCACAAAACACAATCTCAGTACCGGTAGTCCCATAATATGAAGTCAATGAAAAACAGAACAGCGCAGAGCTTGGGACAATGAATCATAGATTACCTTGTGGACCCTCTCAACCTCAGGAAGCATGTCATTTTTCAACTTCTTTCCAACAGAAGCCTCTGTTCTATTTTTACTCGAGAATAGCTTCTCCTGTAGTCACAATGAAGGGAATTCACAAAGAGGTGATAGCGCTTAACCTCTAAACAAAAGGTGGTTACAACTTTCAAATTGCTTCATTTTAGCAAGGAGCTCAATTCCCACTAGTTACAATCTTTATTATTCAAAAAAACAATTAGTAGGGAGCGAAAATTTTGAAATGGAAATTGCAAGGTTCATCTGAAAAGCTTACTAATTCAAATCAAACCGTTTTCAACCTGCTGTTAGCTAAACATAGCTCAACCATGAAGTGAAATAGGACAGTTAATCATTCAGACTACAATTATCAAAAAAGAAATGCCTTTTGACCCAGATTTAAGTTGACAAGTAATCAAGGCAGTTAAATAAAGGATAAAAACCCAACCAACCACATTTTCAAATAAAAATAATCTTTTAGGAATAGGAAAAAAAGATGTACTCGTGTAGAGTTGATTACCAGACCACCAAAGATGATTTCCGTGGATGCAACTGCTCTTTGTTAGAAGTTTTATTTGCTTACCTTATGCGTTTTGTATTTCCCATTATTTCTTTTTTTCTTTGTTTTAAAATCTCAATAGTTCTTTAAGTCTTCCCTAGTTTGTTTATGCCCTTTTCTTGGTGCCAATTCTTGATAAATCTGAAAAATCCAAAAGTTGCTTGCCTGTTTTTTCTCTTTTTTTACCCGGTGAAGAATGCTGTTTGTCATCTTTTGAGTGTGTAAAAATATGGAAGCAAGTTAAGCATCATGATGCATTTGTTTTCCTATATTCATTGGTCAGAGCTAAAAAGTTCGAAACAAACATCTGAGTATAATAATATTTTTCTGTGATGAGTTTGCTTGATTAATAGTATTAACCTAACTATCTCTCTTCCATCAGAGAGTTCTTGTAGACAAACTCATATTTATTGTTTCATGAATTTATATGAACTTATCTCTTTTTTTTTTACAGAAAGCAAGGTAAATCTCAATAAGTTTATGTTCTTATCAAGAACAAAAAAAAATCATGATAATTTTGTGATTTCATCTAATTTATAGTTATTAGTCTGAAGATCAAGGGTTAGATGGAATGTGGTGAGACAAAGTTCTTTTTAATTTATAAACAAAGATGTGATGAGGCAGAGTAGTCCTTTAAACCCTTCTTGGGCACCTAGTACTGGATAATATACATACTTATGTAGCTGTCTCTGGATTTTATGTCTAACCCTTCTGAAGTTTTTAATTTTTAATGTCATTTGAGGTCCCAATATGGTTGGTTATTTTGCAGCAANAAAAAAAAAAAAAAAAAAAAAAGAATGCAGCACTCTCAAAATATGCTATATGCACCAGCTCAATCATCTCACTGAGGGTAAAATGAGAAGTTTAAAATGTTTCTAAAAATAGAAAGGTGTCATTCTTTTTGGGACAAACTAAAAAGAAAAGACGTATCAAAATAATTTGGGACAGATGGAGAGTCAGATTCACAATTTCAAAAGTTAACGAATTTGACAATTTGAAAAATTATAAAAGTTGTATAAAGTAATAATACTAGTCAAATAGTGTACATTTTGAGATGCCCCAAAATCAAACAATTGGAGTATAAATTTAAAGAGAGGGAGTATATGATAGGAGAGCAAAGAGCGAAATTCCAGAGCAAGGGACTACCTTTAATCAGATACCAAAACCGCAATAGATTAAGCATGATTGTGGAACTCAAAGATCTTCAGATCCTTTTAAGGACATTAATACTAACGAATCCAGGACCTTAGTATCCTATAATTCTTCTCAAAGCATTGGTGCACAGACGCAGGAGATTGTGACAATCATTTTTAAGAATTATAACATAATGGATTGAATATAAGCAACAGGCCATGATAAGAACTTACCGAAACATCCCCGAATTCATCGAAATTAGTTGCAACAGTTTCCCACTGGTAACATGAGTGAGGTATTGCCGGAACATTCTTGCCCTTTCCTTTCTTGACTTCAACCTTTCTAATCTCTCGGTACAATCGATGCCCAATGATAGGATCATCCTCATACCTGTAAATGAAGTTAAAAGCAAACAGACTTTTCCAGTGAACAACATCGACCATACAAAAATATCTATTCTCCAAAAAGTGCTATGAGAACCTATAAACAGNCCTAGTGCTGTGAGAACCTATAAACAATATTACGTAATATCTAAGAAAAATGGAAGTATTGCGAGTGAAGTTATCTACCAGTACGAAATTCCATGAGAATCACCGCCAATACGTTCTTTTCGGAAAAGTGAAAGGCGAACACCTTGTTTCAAGGAGTCGTCTATGTAGTTACGAATATCTTCTTGCTGCAAAATAACCAACAATATTGGGACCTCAAATGACATTAAAAATTAAAAACTTCAGAAGGGTTAGACATAAAATCCAGAGAAAGCTACATAAGTTTGTATATTATCCAGTACTAGGTGCTCAAGAAGGGGTTAAAGGACTACTCTGCCTCATCACATCCTTGTTTATAAATTAAAAAGAACTTTGCCTCACCACATTCCATCTAATCCTTGATCTTTGGACTAGAATGCTTTTTATACTTCTCTTTTCCTATTGACGGAAGAAAATTACATGTGGTGCACCAATCTCTACCACTTAGGTGCAATGATGTGCTGCATTAGAAGATTCCAAAACCAGATATTTGAATCTCATTGAAGACCACTTAGACCACATTATGAAAAATAGGCTAAAGGTATATTAACAATCACCCAGCTTAACCTTTTGGTAATTTGAAGTGCCTGCTTCTCTTCCTTTTCTTCTTTTGAGAATAAATGCTCTATTATAAACACTATAGATGCCTGTATGATGCAGGAAAGTCCTGTTTAGTCAAGTTTTCTTCCTTTTTTCCCCTCTTTTCTCTGCTTCCTTTTTGTTGGGGTGCAAACACGGCCCCATAGAGTGAAACTAAACTTAATCCCAGAAGAGATCTAACATAACTTAGACACGTCTAGTAATTGGAGAAGAGTCACCACTTGAAAGAGGACAATGATGAACTTCCAAAACTACTATACCCTTCATTTTATGAGATGTACCAAATGCCTGAGAATACTTCTAAGAAAACTACGTCGTCAATCCACAATGGCAGTCCAATTTCACTAATCAAGAGTCAAACAGAATCAATCTCTGCCTATGATTATAACTTATACTTTTTTGGTTGATTGCAATGGGAAAGATTGCAAATTCAGGTAGATTCATATAGTTTATAAGTGTCTAAATTAAAGAACAAAGTTATGTCTGATTCAATTATGATAACTCAGTAGCTATTTTGTTATCTTTTCTGGATAATTAAACCAAGTCAAACTGAACCGCTGAGAACGTAACAAATATGGTTTAAGAAATCAGTAGTCTTCAAAAATCATTGATTACCCAAATATAATAAGTAGCTAATCACAAACCTGTCTCCGGAACCAAGTGAGCTTGGAAATAACACAGTAGATGGCAAGAATTAAAGATAAAATAAAATTTAGATGCAAAATACCTCAACACGAATATCACATAATGCTTTCAAAATCACCACACGAACTGCAGGATCTAGTGCATTATAAGCTTCAATTTCAGCCCTGAAAATTCAAAGGGGCTAGTTAGCATGCATAAACTTTTTTTGATAAGTACATACACAAACCAAATGCACTTCAAGAACAAAAACCTCTCTAACTCACCCATGTGAAGCGACTATAGGTAGTTCCCCTTCAGCAACCTGCAGAAAGTTATCAGTTAGTTATTCAAAAATATGTACAACTAAAGCTCACTTCAGTTTGTTCAAATGGTTAAGTTACCCAATGCCACCAATCTCTTAATTTCCTGCACAAAACCGTAATCCATGTATTGTGTCCAAGTGCCACTCGGGTAACTGGTGGAATTGCCTACAGAGATGGGGAAAAGTAATAGAAATGAGAAAATGGAAAAACCTTAAATTGGTAGAATTTCAATATAAGAGCATTTTAAGTAAATCCACTCACAAAAACGTTAGTCTAATTACTGGGGATGAAATGTGTGTACACATGTACCAGTGGTGATTCAAATCATCAAAACATCTTCTCTTTTATTGAGTGTTAAATCACTGAAATATTAGAAGCACTGCTTTGATATAAAGCTCAAGGAGAGCAAAATTATATCTCTGAAATGGCCTCCCTATAGAGCGTAAAATTCAGTTAGACGAAAGCATCAACAGACCAGTCTCCTTAACCATTAAATGTTAATGTGAAGCTCAAAGACAATAAGAATGGGGATATAGCATGGAGGCAAAGATTGTGTGCCTAAAAATGTTTGATTTGAATGCAGACTTTTGTTATCTGTCAAGCATGGGATGGATTAACAGTCAACTTTGAAAAGCTAAATCATTCTCATGAGTTGTGTTCACCCCAAATGCAATCCATCGTTCTTTTGGTTGTTCCCCCAAAGGAATCATATTTACTTGGAAGCAAATAGGAATCCCTCCCTCGGACACTTGCTCTGTCACGCACGAAATTTCAATGCAAAACCCCTGAAACACTACACCTTCCTCAAAAGAGTTAAGTTTGACCTGACTAAACAGGGAACAAGAGTAGTAAACAGGTGTATGCACACAGCATTTCTCCATCACGAGTAGCACCACACATGTACGGTTTTCTCCTTCGATTATGTGAAAATCAGCAGGACATATGCCCAACTCAAAGAAGACCACCTCTTTGGGTTCTAACCTCTACGTCGTACAAAGGCTAGCAAACCATAAGGCCACTAACATGGTCTACCAAGAAGTCACAAAGAGATCCGGATCAGCAAAGTACTGCTATTATGTTCCAATCAAGGCCTTCACCCATCAGTTTTTAAAAGAAATCTTAATCATTAATGCTCATTTAATCATATCAAGAAAAGATCACCATTGTCTACCGCTACTTAAGATACAACGTGTAATGAAGTAAACCCCATGCTTTCCTCAAACATAATAATGCATTTTAGGCACCGAGTCCCACCCCTATCTTGAAGTGTGACAGGCATGAAATGTCTACCGTGAAGAGACATCTCTTTTAGAATCCAAGTCACAAGACCTTTATTAGCATTTAAGGGTAATACTTAACCTGCTAAACAGTACGTAATTATCTAAAACCAACACCTACAATGCCCAACATCAGCACCATGTGATAGGAAATGCTACTACTTATCTCAACCCCCTGCCCGTTGAATGCAAGTTTGCTGGACCAAAGGGAAAAGACATATATCAAAGGATTAGCTCCACAAAAGACACAAGTCCATCACCAGAAAGAGACTGAAAATGATGGTTCTCTACATAATGCTAACTTCAAACCAACTGCATATTTCAAGGTATAGCTGCATTGGTATGCATGTAAAAAGTCACTCTGAAGTTAATTCTACGTGTTTCATGAGAAACATTTTCATACAGATTACAGGACTTTGCTATATATATAATCGCAAATCAGTATGTCTCTACACAAATAGTCCTCAAAGTAGTTTCATGACCCTTCTAACAGCATTAAAGGTTAAAAGGTGCAAACTTTGCAGAAATCCTCACTTCCAATGAAGAGAAAGACACAGGAGAGCAGAGAATTCTAGTTTAAAAAGTGGGG